CCCTTAAGATTAGCCAACATGCTTTTCTGATAAGTGCTGGGAAATGTAAGTCAGTTGAGGAAGTTCTGCAAAATGTGTCAGAAGACAATTTCCTGATTTAAAAAAAAAAAAAAAAAAAAAAGAAAAAAGTAAAAAAGCAACAGGGTGGATAGTTACATTTCTAATGACTAACACGGAAGAAATCACCACAAACTCGAGACTTTCAGGCTACTTGGATTAGGTAGTTTAAGGGAACTTACGCAGATTTACATCTAAACTACAAAGATTTGGAGGAAGCAGATTACTCATCAAATGGCCCAAAACGTGGAAGTGAGATGGATGCAAAACATTCGGTTTTCTACGTATCTCAGTTATTACAAATGCGCCAGCAAATCAGAACTATTCCCCTAGCCCCCAAAGTGAAATCAGTGCCAGAATCATGTTGTTCAGCAACCAAGTTGGGGCTGTCTGTAACTCATTCCCAAATCCTCAGTCTCACTCAGGAGCATTTTCTCCAGTGATAAGGCTTCATCAGGAAACACAGCTGGATGGAGGAAGGAAATTCTGAGAAGCAAAAAAAATAGTGGGGGTTCCAGGAAGTTCAACCAGATAGGAACTAATGGAATTTGTTTTTCTGTCTCCCCAGCTCCCAGTGTTACTAAGTAAGTGAGAAAATCAGAGGGAAAGTGGGGGCAAAAAAAGTCTGGCAAATCTTACCCTGCAAAACAGGTCCTCACTGTAGGTCTCCAGAGAGCATCATAATTACAATTCAATATTTTCAATCACTTACTCTCCCTGGGAAAAACTGCAGACGTTTTCAGTTTAGGTCCACTCCAAAGCCCAGCCATTGTTTTCTTCCCCCCGTTTTTTTTCACTTGTATTTTTCTTTTTAAACAAAGGTCCTTGTATAGTTTATTAAGAAGGTTTTAGGTAGACACATGATTTATCAAAAATAATTAAAAAAAAAACCAGTTATGTTTAACTTTCAGGAGAATTAAAGATTGCAAGTGCCTATGATTAGTAACACATATCCCAGAACCATCAAAACAATTGCTTAAACTAGTATCTCGGTCTAATTACTTCTAGAGAAACTCCTTTTGACCTTTAGGGGCAAACAGCATTTCCTTCCATATCCTTTGCAATTCCACTCTTTTGCAATCTTTACAATCCTGTAGCCAACTCCCTCTTCCTTTGATAAGGTAGATAATCCAAATTTCAACATCCCCACTTACGGCAGTAGTGTCAGTGTGAAACAAGAGAAAAGACCCATTAGCTGGATCAGGCCAAGGTACCGAGACAGTTAAAAAGTGAGTCTGAGATCAGCTCTACAGTTAAGACAGTGGAGATCGAGCTAGAACAAAACATCTTTTGCCAAAGACTACTCCACAGGTCAAGATCATAAAATGACTGCTACTGACTGAACACAACTAACTGGAACAGCGTCTCTGTGACATATCTGATTTGTTGACACACTATTTATCACAGCAGCAGTTCAGAGGTGACGTATTTTTGACAAGCACTTCAGAAGAGCCAGGATTATCTTGCTGGTCCAGAGATCATGTCACAGCCTTGAGCCCTTCCACTAAATTTCCATTCAATCATAAGCACAAATGGAGTTTCCGGGGTTTTGCTTTCTCCTCCCCTTTTCCTAATCTTTAAGACCAGTTTGGTATGACACCAGCAAACCTGATGTAGTATGACAGTGCCGATGAGCATCGGTGTAATACCACTGCCAGGATCTACTGTACATTCAGGCATTTCCAGAAACAGAAAAGCTCAAAGGCCACGGGTACAACAGCCCTTAGGAGTAAGAGTAGCTCCACAACTCAGATGAAAAACCTGGCCATAATGCCATCAGTGGCATACGTCCCTACATGTTTCCATAACTTTCACCCTGTCTGATGCCTACAGAACCGTCAGTGATCACCCAGCTGAGTCCATTTACAGCATCAGTGTTTTGTTAGTCCAAAATGCTCCAAACTTATGCTCCTTAAGTGATCTCCTTCCACAGATCCATCCACACAGGCTTAAATTGGAGCCTTTAAGGGAGGGAAACTGTCAAAACCCAGTTGGACAAGGTTCTGAGCAACTTGCTGTAGCGGACCCTGCTTTGAGCAGGGTGACTGAAACAGAGACCTCCAGGTCTCCTCCAGTCTCAATAATACTGTGATTCTATGAAAAGAAGTTCCTGCATCTCTCCATGAAGCTGTATCCAAGACAGTTCTGATCCCGGACTGAACCAACTAGAAATATGGGAAAAAGAATTATGCTGAATATCCTTGTCAAAAGAGTGGAATGACAACTCTATTGCAAGCTGAGGATAGGTCATTCAGTCCAAATCAAATCTGTACTGACTGCTTCTCAAACTGCACCTCTAAAAAAAGGGGAGGAATCTAATACCTCAGAGTGAGCTTTAAACACAGGACTTCAGGCTACAGGATCAATACGTAACAGGTACGTCCCTGTGTCATCTCAGGTACAAGTACAGCTGGGAACCTGCAATCAGATAAACTGACAGCAGCAGTTCTGGCACCTGTGTAAGTATGGAAGCTGTCCTCATCTACTTTGAACAGGGACAGCAGCATCCAACTGTTACTAGCGGTTGTAGGAGCTGCAATTAAAAGGAACTGCAACCTACCAGGGCACTGATGGACACCAGGACTCTTCCTACATTATCTCTACACAGGAATAGATATGAACAACTCGCTTCCAGGAGAATGACAGCACTTTCCTGCTCCTGCAGTGTGCTCTCTGCCACATCTGGGAAATGCCCAGAGCCTAGGAATTTCAAAACAGAATGCAAACACACACACAGAACAGCACTGCAAATCCTCCCAGGGTAGTTCCATTTGTGCCACCTTAAGGACCGGACTCTGGAACATGATGGAAAGGGATCATGAGGGTTCATGGGTGCAATGAAATGAAATTGCTCAGAGCTGGAGGGTCTGTGCATACTCCACACATCTCTGGTCCATGGGGGGGGGCAATTGTGCTGCCTCTGGCTTTCTCTCCCTGGGGCTGCTTAGCAGCAGACGGTAGCCAGAAGACAACAATGCAGCTCCAGATTACATTACCTCCTGCCTGTATTTGCATGTGGAAATCTGGGTGCTTAACAGGGAACAGTCTGTGACTTTTTGCCAGAACCTTGACCCATTAGCTTAGTGTTCAGTGAGGGGAAAAAGGAAATCTGTGCAGTAGTCATCAGCCAACCACTGCATCGGTCAAGGAATGAGCAAAAGCATGTGCAAACTTACACACCCTGCACAAGCAGCCATAAATGCACATGATCTGCAGTGTCTGTTAAGTCCCAGAAGAAGCAACAGCACCTTCCAAACTTATCTTTAGTTTCAAAAGATGCACGACATGCAGAGAGAACAAGAGCAACTATTTGGGACAGCTCATGGGTGGGGGGCAAAATCCACTCCCTTAACCACAGCACTGTTGATTTGCATTAAATCCCAGTTTGTCTCACTTCATATTGATCTGACAGCAAGGGAGCTAAGAAGTAGATCCACGGCATATTTAGGTGATCGAAGTGTTAATCAAGGGGACTCTGGTGGTGGAAGTTTACCTACAGCATTTGAGACCTCTAACAGCTCTCATGGACTTGAAGTCCCCAAATGTTTATTTCAAGACATTAATAAGTTAAGATGGGTCGTGCTGTGGCTGATGGCCTCCTCCCAAGCTCTTACCTTTCAAGCCAAACCATGTGACTTGTAACAAAGGTTCATACTGTTTTTCACAGTGGCAGACAAGACAGGACAGTTCTTAATTTGTTTAAATTTCTTCTAACTTCCCAGTTTAATTAACTATATTTTTGTAGTTTAGAGGACAGCACTCAGAAAACAAACCTGATATTTTTCTCCGTCCTACCAATAACTTTAAAACATCCAGTGCATTCGCTGAAATTATATGGGACAATGGCAGGACCAAATCCTTCAAACTGTTCAATTCAAGACACCCCACTGAAGTGTTCTTTATTTTATAGTAAGAGTTTTTTCCAGTGAAGAATCCCCAGTGGATCGCAATTTGTTCTTCACAAGCTCTTTTGCCATTCTGCCCAGCATTTACACAGCTACTAACCTTATATTACTTTCACTACTATCTAGGATCTCTTAGCACATTCTTTCCCTTATTCCTCTCCTCCCAAAGTTCAGTGGCCTACAGTGAAGTTACAGAATAATTTCCAGGAGTACTGCATGAGCAAGGTGTCAAACACATACATGGTATTTCAGAAATTTCCACGGAATTTCAGGCCCCATCTTTCCCTCCAGATAAGAGACTTCAGAGACCTCCAAACCAACAGGGTAATTCTTGAAACATATTCATTTGTGCTTTTCCAGATGTCATCTATTCCAAAAAATTTTTCTGGATACACTAGTCATGTCGCAGTATAAGTCTTATTTTATACACTGATATAGCAGGCCTATTCTCTGCAGTGCAAAATGCTGATGAATACATAAATAAAATAAAATAAATGCTAGTACGAACCTTGATCTCATTACAGAAAGTTGGGGAAAAAGTCTTCTCATTAAATATTTATCAGTGTTCAAGCCATCTTTGAATCCTTTGTTCAAAGACGAGCGAGACTTTGTAGCTGCTCAGCCTTTCCCAATTCTTGTGAAAATAATGGCAGTTTGCTGATATTGGTCAGTTGTTACTGAATGTCACATTTTACTTCGGATATTTATTCAACTTTCACATCAAGCAAAATTGATCTACTTTGCAATGTAAATTGCTTAACAAGTGTAAAATTAAAGTAATGAAGATTCCTAACTCCAAAGAAGTTACACCACAATAATTCATAAAAATACATACTGAATTCACTCATTTCCTAATGGTTCAGAGCACAGCCATCCACCTGCAGCCTTCACATAGAAACAACAGTGATTTCACAGGCAGAAGACCCTTTGCTTTTGATGGGCATGTGGTAATCTCATTAGTAGAGAGGCATTTAAATATGTTTTTGTTATAAAGGAATATAGCAGGGAAACAAGAAAAACGTGAAGCCTCTTGTTTACCTGTGTCTTCATATTCTTCTGTCGTTTCCCAAATATACAGGACAGATCATCTTCACTGCGCGAAGAGAGATCCTTACCTGAAATGGGCAAGGGGAGGGGGAAAAAAAAAAAAACTACACAAAACAAAACCTTCACATTTGGTGATGACAGGTACATTTTGATAATACAAACTGTGTGTGATCCATGGAGGTAGGGAAACTGGTTTTGGAGGTGAACCAAAAACAGGAGGGGAATGTAAAAGACACTAAGTGAGGGCTGACCATGATTCCCACATACAATAGGAAATGCGTGTGTGTAGCAGGAAAAATTGGTGAGGAGACAACCACAGCCTGCTGGTGTATGCCCACAGGGAAACATAACAGCTGCTTGTTTCCCCTGACTTGATACTGCAATTGATATAGCAAGATGAGGAAAGCAGCACTACACTAAAAGGGAAAGACGAGTTGTAACCTCCTACACACAAGAAAAGTTCAAGGAGAAATGGCACATCTTTGGGTTCTCATGAGATTTCCCATCTCTGACAGAGTTAGGGAGTTATAGCTCCTCCATACAGTGAAAAAAAAAGTCCATCTTTACTCAGTGGGGACTTTTCTTTGATTCATGAAATTGCTTCTGAAAAGCAAAACCTCCATCTCCACAACACACTGGATTATTCCAACTTAGAACAATTTCAAGGGTGAGGCAAAGATTTCTCTAAGTTCCAGTAGGACCATTATCCCCATCTGACTGTTGTGTGGCTGGCTGGATATCAGATATTGGGAAGGGGAAGCAAAAGGGTGTGATGATCAGATATTCTGAGATACCGGCAAAAATTAGCCGATTCCACAGTGCAGAAGTTTTTATATTGAGCTGACCACAACTTATCTTGGAAAATTCTCTTTTTTTTTAAAAAAAAAAAAAAAGTGAGCAAAGGTTGAAGAAACAAAATGAGCTCAGACAGGTCAACTTATTAGGAATCTGCCAGGGTCTCACTCCACTTGATTTCCTGATGCCAAATTTACTGACCTCAAAATGAATCTAAGCACTTGTAACGGACAAAAACTAATAAATAAATCTGACTATTCCACCTGTTTCTTCTTTTCGGGATCCTTAACTGCCCACAGAGGGTAAGCAGACACATCAACCCAGAGGAAGAAAGTGTTACCCAACTTCCTGGTGTCTCACTGCACAGCATCCAGATGTCCTTACCCAAGCATGCTGGATGAGACTGGTGGCTGCCTTCAGCTTTATCTTGGCCAAGGTTTGGAACATGACACTTACAATCCCGCTGCTCCTCCTCTCACCCCATGCTTTCTTTCCAGACCTTTCCCCCTCCAAATATAATCCCCGCCCCCCCCTCTTTTTGCATCCTCTAATAGAAAACCTTTTTCGGTGACAGTCCAAATCTTTTGCAGCATCAGAGTGGAACAGCTACTAGAAAAGCAATTGAAATCACTGTCTCAATCTCCCACTGGTGTGTATTTCCCAGATCCAAGCGCAGCTGCTAAGCCTGTGTGGTGCCTGTATTCCTCCAGCAGCGAGGCTGCAAAACAGCACCAGAAACGGAAGCTGCATTTTCTATCGCTGCTGCTCCCTTCTCCCGCTTTTGTGTGAGCTCGTCTTGTTTAGTCTAAAAGGAAGCAGGATCGGACTTCAACAAGAGCCACAACAACACTAGCCTTTCTCAAATAACTTTTCCTCTTTCCCTGAAAAAGGACAATTTCCCTGTTTTAGACCACAGAAGGTACAATCAAACAGGGACGTACCTTATAGAAACACCACAACCAAACAAATAAGGGATACTATTAACATGAAAGCCTTGCTCCATATTTTACATGCTCAAAAGGCACTTTTTTTTTTTCTCTATATTTAGTAAAAGATTAAATCCACATCAAAATAAATCCTCTTTGCTACTACCTCAAATAGGCCACAGTCTCTGTATTTACAAGCCCTGAACCAATTGAATTGTTTAATATCAAAGTGGCAGGGTCATGTTAACAAGTTTGACTTGAAGGCCAAATTATTTAATCAAAAATCCTGAATCCCAATATCAGAATTTGGCCTCCATTCAGACATCAATTACCTCTGTTTTAGCAGAGGCATTTGCTATCAGAAAACATTACGCAGAGCTTTAAGTTCAATAAATGAGCCATTAGTGGAAACCGATCCTATCCATACACTGAAACATATGTATACACTCACCATGTGCACATGGGTGTGTGAAAGAGGAACATGACCAGCAGAGAAATAGAGCAAGGGATTGAACAATTGCCAAGAGCCAAAACCAGGGATGGTTGAAATAATGTCATGGCTAAGAAATAAAGAAATCAGTAAACTCCACAAGTTCTTCATACAGTTTTTCTGGCCATCAACCACTGTCCTAATTTATCCAATAAATTATCTATTGGATGTAAGAGGGCTTTCCTCTTCCTGCATTCAGGTCTAATCTGATCACTGATCTTACCCACATGATCTCTTAGCAGGAGTTACTGGAGACTGCAGAGGATAGTGCTGTGCAGATGCTCAAGTAACTCTGTTATCACCTTTGCCTCTCCCTCCCATTCCCTGCCCACACACAGATCGCTCAGAATATTCACTGTTCCTTTATTCAGCTGATGGTTCCTTCAGATAGAAATTGTTTTATTCAACCAGATCAGCCTAAAGCCATCCAAAATTGTCCGAAATAAAGAGGAACAGCATATTATAGCTTTAAGCAAGTTGCTGCAGGGGGTATTTCTAAACCAAGATTTTACTTGCCAAATTTAGACCCCAGAAGGCAACAGATCACCTTGACACATGTGGTTTTTTTATCTAATCTTGGCTAGAGCTTATGAAACAACAAAACTCACCTTTTGCAAACTTCATATAATGGACACGTTTCTTGGAAGATTTGGATTTTTCTTCAAGACTGAATGTCTTCTTCTGATTATTCACTGAGGACACTAAAAAAAACAAACCAAACATGTTCCAACCCTATTAGAGGCATTCTAACCACCAAATTCAAACATCACTGTATTTAACTTACTCTCACAAGACCAAGTCTCAACAACATATCATAATATATTACTGAAGGAAGCACGATAAGTTTTGTCCAAGACATGTTACTGCTTGATTTTTTTTTGCCACATCCCCTTCCCTTCCCATTTCCAATCTAATGTAATTTGAAAAGGCAGATACAGGTACTCCAGGTCAAAGGCAAAGTCTAATTTAACACTATTTCTACAGTAAGGAAAGAATAATAGGTCAGGGTTTATTGTGCTGTTTGTTATAAATTATCTCCAGTGCTGGAGTCTGAAAAAGATGTAAGAAATAGTACAAAACTAAATACTGGACCTGACTGGCTAGAAAGAAAAAAGGGGGGAAAAAAAAAGTATCACACAGACAGGCTTTCCACCTCTAACACTACATGAAGTGTCTCTGCCTGTACGGAGTTTGACACATCTGTGTAAAGAAATTAAAGGGTGGCAGACCTTTTATATCCCTGAGGCCAGCTAGAACAAATGGCCACATCCATATTATTTAATATTCCTAGCTTCCAGAAGAGGGGCTGCATCTAAACTGTCCACTGGGAATGGTCTCTGGGGTCATCTAAGTCCCAAATTCACTCAGGGGCTGTTTGGAAGAACGTTAGCTTGTGCAGATCAAAACCATGTGAAGGATCAGTCTAACTATTTAACAGTAGAGCTACCAAGTTCCTGTGCTGTGGCAGGTTATTTTACTGGTCCAGATGTACTCTTTGCATCCACAGAGCTTGTTAATTTAAAATAAATTCTCAGAAGGAGGTAACCTGCTGTCTGGTTAATAACTACTTTATTAATCCTGTCCTGAAAACAAATAGGCACCTCAGGATTCTCTGCTCTGTAACTCCAGAAAAGGCTACTCTGGTGAGATGCTTTTTTCCCTCCCAGTGGTGACTAGGATGGGTAGGGAAATCAACCCACACCCTGAGGGCCAAGTTGAGTCACCTTCTTCATACAATCCCACCCCTGTAAGCTCTGCAGACCAAGCTTTTCTGACACTGGAATTACAGCACTTCACTGTTTGATAGGTATTAACACCTGATGACAGAGTCACTGACCTAAAAACAAAATCTGCAGCCTGCAGTGGGAGAGGTGACTATCAGAAAGCAGTCTGAGATCTACTCTGCCACTTATACACTAAGCCCTAGTGAAGAGGAAAAGGACTAGAAAACCCAGTTTTAGACAGAGCTTGCAGACAACTTAAAGATGCTCAATAAAGATCTATAGGGAAAGTAAGCATCACAACTAAAATATCCTGACCAGAGAAAGGCACTTGTAGTCTCCTCTCCGATTCACTTGTACCAAAGGGAACATTACACAGCAAAGGAATTCCACAGGGCTTCCTCCTCCACTTTATTCTTTACAGCGAAAGGGGCAGCAGCACCGCCTTGTGCCTTCAAGGAGGAATTTCACTACTGAAACGTGCTGGCACTTGCAACCAACAGGTAGGCACATCCCCGTGTCTTCTACCGACTGGTAGATCCTCCGACAAACTGAACAAGCACTGCAGGAATACCTATGTGCTTTTTAAAGCAATTTAGTCATGGCAGTAAAGCCACGTGTCATTTCTATAGCAAATCTGATACAGATGAACGTTTCAAAGCACATTGCAGAAATGGCCAGAGTGATGTTGCCCTATTTTATGAACAGGAAAGGGACACAGTCATCATCACTTAGCATCCCAGGAAAAGAGCCAGGAATCAGAGGTTCTCACTAGGTGCTCAGACAGAGGAAAAAAAAAAAAAAAAAAAGAAAAGAAAGCTAAAACTACGTACATCAAGTGTATTTGAATGCTGGCATACTAACCACCACAGGGCCCTTCCTTCCCGATCTCTAATTGCAATCCAACTCTGGCAGCTACACCAGTTATTTAAGAACAATGAAGTTTTTCAGCTGTCTTTTAATGCAATTTGAAACTGGATGATGGCCAATAATGTAGCATTTGATCCTGTAGCACAGCTGCAGGCAGAGTTATCTGGCTAAGTTTTGCCAGCTTCAACAATTGCCAAATACAAGTTTCAGAGCAATCCTTGCAGTCTGCAAATCACCAAACGTGATTCTGACCAGGCGTTTTCAACATGCACCCAAATCTGTCCTCAGTGATAGAAAACTCTTGTCCCAGCTCCTAAAAAGACCAAGGAAAATAACTGAGTAAAACAGGGAGAAACAAAAAAAAAAAATCAGTTTTCAGGGACCACATTGCATCAGTACAGATGACCCAGGGAATGCTGCACAGATTTAGGAACAAGACAGCCTTGCTCAACAAACCTGCTTCTGTGCTGACTCACTGTGTCCTTGGGCAAGTCATTTCAGCTCTCTGCTCATCAGTTTGCAGGTTTCCCACCAGTTACACCTAAATGATCTTCCCATGGCTCAAGTTGGAACTTGGATAGGATTTAGTTATAAAGGTAGAAAGGAACTTCTGGAATTTCCCTATGATATGCTATTTTACCTCTTGAGGACTTTAACTACAGCACCTAGCACTGTGTGGCCTCAGACCATGATTAGGGCTCCAATGGACAAGGATAAATTATACAGCAATTAAAACAAAGTGTTTTCAAAGCATCAGGTTCAGAATTTTAATCCCAGCTCTCTAGGATTAGAAACCAAGTTTGATCCTTCCTCCTAACTGATTTTCCTCCTCTTTCTACCTTTCCTCTCCTAGAAAACCTTCTGTGATCAAACATCAAGAATGAATGAATGGACAGTTGCTAAATTCACTAAGCTGGCAATTCTGCCACTAGAGGCACGTGGACAGGCTGCTGTGTCCAAACAGAAGTCCTTGGTTTAACAACACTACACAGAGTTGTTTAGATATATGATCAGAGTTTAAACATGAGTCTAACTAAATGAGAGATAATAAACCATTTGATGCGTGTAACTCTTTCTGTAAGTTCACACCCACCAGTTTTGCACAGCTTCATTTTTACAAACCAAGGTCAAACTGTTCAAAGCTTTTAAAAATTATAAGACTTGATAAATAGTCCTTTTTGGAAAGTCGTGTAGTTTCCCCACTTGTGTGATCTGCATCAGGGCTACAAAAGTCACATTATACCACACTCAAAAAAGATGCATAACTCTGAGTCAAAAGCTAAGAAGCAGCTCTCTGAGGACAGGAAAAGTAGGTATTTAAGAAACCACCAGAGCATGGAGGCCAGGTGGGACAGTTCATTAGTAAAAGGAAGGCAAACGCATTACAATGATGAGTGATTGTGTTGTGAACCTTCACACCGGCTCTGGTGGCTTTATAAAGAAACAAGTACTGCTGTAATACATCCCAGCAAAAGGTTCCCCATCTTGTGGTCCTAGGATAAAACAAACAAGTTCAAAATTTTATGTTTGCTTTCTCCAACAAAAAGCCTTTACTAGAGGCCTGAGAGCAAAACTGATCCACTGAGATGTACATATCCAGGAAGACAAGCTTGAGCATGGTCATGGATGGCAACATGTCCTTCAACTCCCATTGATTTTGGGGAAGAAGGGGGAGTTGTCAACCTCAGTAAAGAGACTATTAGCAGCCCAAAGGACTGGGCCTCAGCTAGCCTTTTAAGACAGAGAACAGGAAACTCTGCTAAGCTTCCAGCATCTGATTGAGCAAAGCATGAACCTACCTGTTTCACCCTGTCCATGGCAATCATTCAGTTCAGCCAGAAGCTGGTTGAAGTCATCCTGATGAGCAATCCAGTTGTCCTGTATCACCCACATGAATACAAAGTAAAAGCCTTCAGAATTAACAGAAGTTTTGTTAAAATGGATATTAAGACTCTGCACTCTAAGAAGTAACTTAGTTGTATGTATACAATCCTTGTTGGTGGGAAGGGCCCTCAGAAGCTCCACAGGTGACAACACTAACAACAGTTTGCTACAGTCACTCCAAAGTGCAGAAATTAAGGGCTGCTCAATACTGAGCTGCTGTTGGCTCTGCATGTCCTTCCTCTGTGCAAGATGTTTTCAAAAGTAGGCAGGAAATACTAGCGTGATTTTTTTCCAGAAACAAAGTCACTTAAGATGTTGATTATGAGACAAGCACCTTTAGGACCATGTTATGCTCTGCCTGTGTACCTGAACTCCAGTCAGAAAGGTGACTACCAGGAAGAGGGACAGAAGGCATGAAGCTAAGCAGGGCAGAAGACACAGGGAGAAAGCAAGTATTTCAGTGATTTGCTTGGAAGCAAAAAAAAAAAAAAAAAAAAAAATCTCTGAACAGCCTGCTCCCAGAAATCACTGTAACCTTTTCAAGCAGGTACTTACTCCTAAAACACCCAACAAAGCAGAAGTAAACTCCAAGTCAAGAGTTTCTATAGAGATGTTAGCACAGATACATGCTGACACTAGATTTCACTAACATGCCATTGCACAGACTGTGCTTTAGCTGAAATGGGAGCCATTCCCTTACCTGGGTCTAGTGCTCACCTCGTAATTGATAGTTGCTCCTAACCCCAGCATGTTGTTTTTCACCTGAACCTTGATATGTTCTGTATTTCCTTGTTCCTGAGCCCCAAGACCCTAAGGAGGATTTAAGAGTAAAAATGTGAGGATTTTACAACAGTGACTAAGCAATCAGAGCTTTTGTACTGCCAGATAGTTTGCAATGAAATACAGCAAGACATCACAACCTATTGTTTATTTGCTTGCCTGTAACTGAATTCATTCACAGGCATTAGCACACATGAGATATTAAGTTTTTTTTAATTTACTACTTAAGCCTCCAGCAAAGTATTATAAACACTAAAATAGCAACAACCTTAAGTAGCTGGGTGATTAATCAGGAAGCCACCTGACATTCCTAGGCAAGTCCAAAGTGTTTACAATTTTAAAACAAGACACTGCATAAAAAGAATGTGCCTCTCACCAAAAATATCTCTGTCGCTGGGAAGGCAGATGTGTAGTGGCTGTCAGACAGATGCCACATAGAACGTACAATACAGAATGAAGTTATATGGAGGGGGGAAAAGCAGGAGGGGAAGGGTCAGACTGGAGCTAACAGGACATTAAGAACTTCTTCCATCTCATTCACAATAATAAGCTGTTGAAGATATCGAAGCAAACAAATGTCAAGGTTGTCTATCCTAAAAAACATAATCATTCAAATCTGGAAAGCAATCTTTAGACCCAGTATTATCTTTCTTAATTGTATGATCAGAGGGAAAAAAAAAAAAAAAAAGACAAAGCATTTGGGTTAAAAACTTATTCCTGGTATCTACTCACATTTTCCCTAATCTGTCACCAGTAATCAATTATCAGTTTAGCGTATGGCTATAATAAATATGTATGTGCTGGATCAGTGGAGAGAAGCCCTGGGGATAGGTCCTGGGCATATCTAATATTTGAAGCAATGAGGTGTATGTCAAAAAGGCTGTTGCTATTATAAATCCAGTAGAGTTTATTTGTTCAGTGGGGTGGAAAATTTACCTTGAAACTTCTGCTAACCAAAAAGAATGGAAGCAAGCAGGACACTTGGCTACACATCCTGCCGTGACCCAATTCCAATACAACTAATAACAGGACTAGTGTAAGCAGCTTAATTTCACTGCACAGATGGGGTTTTGCCCATTAATTTCATCAAGCTCAGGTTTCACTTGCCCGAGTTTGTAGTGGAATGGAGAGATAAATCCTTCTCGTACAGCTACAACTGTTGTAAAGGAAGACCTAGTAGCTCAAGTAGTAAATTCATTGTTGTGAAGAAGATGAGGGGGGCTGTGACAGACAAAAACCACAAGGCCTTTGTTTCACACCCTGATACAAACCAGTGTTCATAACAGCAAAGGTGTTACCTATGGTCAGAGAAGCTGGCTGCCTAAAATAAAATCAAGATATTTAACAGCATTTTTACTGATTTATACATCTATTTTAATCTTACACACATAAAACACCTATGCACACAATTTACATAAAAAGACAGTACTCAAGCTCCATACTCTTAACAGTCTGGTCTAAACCTTACTGGAACCAATGCCAGTTCCTTGAGTTCAGCAGTCTTTGAATCAGGTAGCACTGCTTGTTTGGGAAATGAGAGGCAGTCAGAAACCAGATTTACATGTGCTAAGACAACTGAGGCAACAGCAGGCTACATTGAAAAATCCAGGAGTAGGGTTATTTTTCCAAGTTCTAATGCATTCACAAAATTGAGAATGATCCTAATTGTATTCTTTTTTTGAAAAGACTCGAGAGAAGAAATGTAGATGAATAATTAAATAAATATCATGGGGGTTTTGTGTGCATTTGTTTCATTAAACATGCTGACGTGCAGGCCCAAATCTCAGCTTTGCTGAGGCACCTTTGTGGAAGTTAAACTGCTTTTAAGGAGCAGCTGAGAATCTGCAGCTGTCTGCACTGACCTAGAGATTATTCTTAGCACCAGAAACCAGCCACCTCAGCCCACAGGTACAGCCTCTCTGGGAAGGAATACAGCTCAGGTAATGCTGCATTTTAGCCACTCAAGGAACAGATCAGAAGCAACCTTTAAAAACAGGTGAAAGATTAAAGCAGGTCCTGGAGTTGCTTTAAACAGTATCAAAAACCCAGGGAGAGAACTGAGGGTATAAACACAACTTAAAGCCCTAAGCCACCACTTGATTTTAGGTGCCAACTCCTGCTCTTACTTGGGGATATTACCTTGTCAAAGAGAAAAACTGGAAAGCAAGACAGACACAAGTAAGAAAGTACTGCTGTAACAAACTAACATTGCTCAAATTCTCTGTGCACTTAAAAGACTAAATCAAATAGAAAGAACATGGCTGTTTCAAATACTGAGATCAAGAGTCCCCCAGCAGCCTTCCACCTTTCAGCTAGACAACGTTCCTTTAGACCATACCTTTCCTTTGGACCAGCCCATCTTTTCCAGCATCTTCTGGCCAAATTTAGATTCATCTTTACTCCAAGCACTATTCCGTGGATCCACAGACCACTTCTGCCTTCTACGGGCTAGAGCAGGAAGGAAAAATTCAAACAGGTTCTATTTACAGTTCCACAGCATTCTCAGTATTATATCATAGAACAGAATTATAGACTGGTTTGGGTTGGAAGGGACCTTAAAGATCGTCTAGTTCCAACCCCCTGCCCCGGGCAGGGCCCCCTTCCCCCAGCCCAGGAGGCTTCCCAGCCCCGTCCAACCTGGCCTTGAACCCTTCCAGGGAGGGGGCAGCCACAGCTGCTCTGGGCACCCTGGGCCAGTGCCACACCCCCTGCACAGGGAAGAATTTCTGCCTTACACCTAATTCAAATCTACCCTCTTTCAATTCAAGAAAAGCTCTTAATTGCAAAAAAAACCCATAACCTGCGCCAGATCAAACATCTTCTGGGAGTTTAATTTTACTAAACTTTATATTGGGAAAAAAAAAGGCCACTGAAAATTTTAATTATTAATGTGAAGAATGCCAAAGTAAAATTGCTATGGAAGTTGTCATCCCTAAGGATGGGCTGCAACTCGGGGAAGGCTTTAAGGATTACCATCTTAGGTGTACAGGCCTGAATTCTGTATTTATTCCAACTTTGTTTTACATCTGTCTTCAAAATGAAATCTATAGGGGATGAGACTTCTGTGCTAGCTTTCCCAGTTCTGGACGATATCCACTGGCCAGTCTTCCTTTTAATCAGAACACAGAAGTTTTAATATTTGCCTTCATAACAAAAGCCAAGTCAAAAATCAAACATAAGTGACCAGAGAAACTGAATTACAGAACATAAACCAGTGGGATTTCAGCTTTTGGATTTCCCACAAAGTGGTTTTTTTGGAAGCCAGAAAGTCATCGGAAATTGCTGCAGGTGTTAAGAGATCCAAATGAGAATCAAGGCTCCTTTGTCCTATGCAGACTACTAAAGAAACTACAGTCCCCCAGGCCCACATGCGTGTGCTTGCCTCTATCATCAGGAATAGCTTTATTGAAATCAAGGAAGAAAGGCTAGCACAGTTAACCAGTCACTTCAAGTGTGCACCTAAACATATGCAGGAAGACAACCTAAATAAACAAGACAAACAAAGAATGGGAGACAGGAAGATTACAAACTTCATTAAACACGATGGGAAATGGTGGATCAAAACTGACCGATTAACCCAAGGCCGTACAAAGTCAGTGAGAAGCCAAGTCCACTTGAGGCGCTTTGAACATAATCAGGAAGTCATCCTTCCCTAAAATGTAACACTTAGGATTGGGCCAGAAGGGCAGAATATTACAGAGATGTTTGATTCATTTTTTGTCCAGTTTTGTTTCGTTCTTAAAGAACTAGTACTTGTCAGAATGCATGATGGTGGCTTTTTTTAAAACATACTTCTGAAGCTTTGAAGCTCAAAATAGGTGGTGCATGGCAGATCCATAAAAAGTAACAGTCTGATAAAGAATTTCATAAAACCCCAAACAGTCCATAAAAAAAGATTTTACAGTAGGTTAAATGACTGAGTGCTGTGAAAGGAATTGCCACAGCCTTTGCTGGGTTCACTCCTCAAACAAAAACTTATTTCCAACAGGCAGCCTTCAGAGAAGCATCTGTTACAAGCCCTGCCTGTGCTCCTAACTCACGGTGGTCAAGTGCCACTGTGGAGTGTGATTTTAGACCCCCAAGTGAATTAGGGTTTCCTGCTGCCCCACTGAGCTCTGGCTCCCTTAGCGACACAGCTCACTTCACTCATTTATTGCGATGTTTGAAAGAGCGAGCTAGGTATTTGGGACAATTAAAATTCTTTGTTATCTTCCTTCACCCAAGATGCAAATGATCTCTACGGACCCATGTTTCCAGTGGCTTGTGGGGGTAGAATGAATTAAAAAGCTATCAAGCTGGCAGCAAAAGCTAAGTCCTATAAAAACGGGGAACGCCTTGGCCGTTGCTGACAGTGAAAGAGGCAACACAAAAAGACAGACAATAAAAAGAAGCAATTTAACAGAAGTTATGTTAGTCAGCCAAGCAGCAGCCCTTCTTTACAGTCATATTTCTTAATTAGGCCCTTTGTTTAAAATCTCTTGATCAGCATCAACTTTCCTTCACTCAGTCACCAAATCTGCTTAATGTTTTTTTTAAAATCTAACCATAGCAACATTTAAGTAAGCTCGTATTCTGTTATGCTCTCTGTAACTAGTTCCCCAGGTGGTGACTTTGCAAATCCCAAGAAATTACATTCAATGCAATTCTTATAGCTGTAAATCCACTGTATGTATCTAAGGATTTGTCTACCCAGTAGACATAATCCACGTCAACTGAATGTGTGAATTGAAATTAATGTCCAAATTGAGTTGATGTAGTTCAACTAATCCACTTTAAAAGTTAATTTCTATTCATTTTCCTCAATATCTCTTGTAGAGAAGCCCTAAGATGTTTTACTCCCAAGAGGATGCTGGTGACAAAGCACACGGGCACCTAATACAGAGATTTCTCAATCTCGAAATTTTAAGAGACCTTCCTTTTCCCAGTATTTGCAATCCAGGTATTTCAAACCTCTTAACTACCCCTAGGAGATCAATACTCATATTTCTGCCAGGTTAACACATTCCTGTTTTCAAATATGGTAAGCTAGAGACAGGAAAATAAACTTACTTAGAACTTTAGAAAGCCAGAAACAACTTCATACCACATAGAGCAACTATAAAGGCAACTCCCCTCTCCAAACAAACAACAAAAAAGACTGCTTAGTCAACAATTCATCAGAAATGTTTTTCCTCTGATGTCTTGAGAGCAAGAAAGGAAACAACATACTATCTTCCAACTACAAAATTCAGCTCAGAAGTTAACACCAATCTGCTGAGCTGCTCAGAAAATGATGCTGGAGACAGTAATGCAACTCTGGGCGAGCAGCACCATCCAGTGGAGAAAATCGTAATTTCTTTGAATACTTCACTCAGATACCGTACGACTTCAAAAATATCAGTTACTAAACCCTTTTACCAAGCCTAATTCTGTGCCTGGAGCGTGTGTTTAAATATCATTTCTGAAAGTTTCTGATTAGTTCCCATCAAAACCCCTGCTGTGTGCCTATATATGGTGATAACACCGAAAATAATAAACAGAGTCAATTTCTCCAACAAATGAAAAAAAATACACTGCCCAAAGAAGGGATCTTATTTTTAATTGAAGTTATGAATCCCATCATTAACATCATATACTTTTTTTTTTCCTGATAAGCACCAATAAGACAGAGTTAATTAGAGTTTATTAAAAGTTAAAAAGAGTTAAACATAAGTGAAAACTAAAAGCTAACTCTTTGGCCATTTCTGCAATTGATCCATCTTTTTAAATTGAAACTACATAAGCATAGAATGATCGAGCTTGCCTTTCTCAGTTTAGTTCACAGCGTCACTAAAGTTGAAAGGACCTCTCAAGATCATCTACGTCAACTCCCTGCTTAAGCATGCTGTCCAGGAACATGTGCAGTCTGGTTCTGAATATCTCTACAGCCTCCCTGAGCAATTTGTTCCAGTGTTTGGCCACACTCACAGTAAAAAAAAAAGATGGAATTTCTTGTGTTTCAATTTGCACTCACTGCTTCTTATCCTGTCACTAGATACTGCTGAGAAGCTACTTCAAAGTCCCTGAAATGCATGTGCTTTCACAGCTGTAGTAAAAGCAATTAACACCCAGCCCCAACTTTTTATTTTTAGGATTAATATTAATAAGAGCATTAGAACTGGATCCAGAACTGCACACAAAAATGCAAGTAACATGCCTTCACAATTATAACTGCAGTTGAAGGTGATGAACAAAAGCATAAAACTCTGCAAAGGTGGCTCTCAGCAACTAGATTTGGTTTTGAAGGTATTTGTTTTAGAATCCACTACATACAGAAGCTACATTAACACACTGGCACAGGGTGCCCAGAGAAGCTGTGGCTACCCCATCCCTGGAAACATTCAAAGTCAGGTCAGGACGGGGCTTTGAGCACCCTGGTCTGGGTGAAGATGTCCCGGCTCGTTGGAGGGGGGCTGGACTACATGACCTTTAAAAGGTCCCTTCCAACCTAAACTCTTCACTGATTATTGAGATTTGCAGTGTCCAATTAAAACAATTAAATTCTGAAAAAAAAAAAAAAAATGCTACCAACAAAGTTTACATCTAAAATAACTGGAAAATTACATATGTGAATTCAATTCTATTTCTTCAATTCACACCTGTATTTTCCACTGGAAACAGTAGTTTCTAGTTACTCATTCTACTTAAATTCACCTTTGCCATAGTCATGCAAACAAATACATTAGACTCTGTGCTCTCATGTTAAGGGTGTCCTGGCACCAGCAAGCTTACCAAAACACCTAAAGATATTTACAATACTCAGACAAAATTATTTTAGCCCTGTTACATAAAAATCAACAGTTGAAAAGTTTAATCTTTCTACTCATATACAGTTTAAAATTTACTAGAAAAGGCTATTTTACAGGAATGCATCTTTAACCTGGAAGAGAAGGCAGCAAAAGTGTTTAGTTCTCACGTTGGCCAGCCCTGAGAGAGTTCCATTTCCTGAAGAACTTTACCCGAAAAAAAAAAAAGTTATCTATCAGGATATTCACCCAATGTTTTAAATAATTCTTTTAGACGTGGGGAGCCCAAGTGCTGAACCACCTCGGATGTAGGAGAGAAGCTCTGTTTAATTCCCCGAAGGAAATGGTTAAACAAAATTATCAGGCTATATGTAATAAAACCTCATATTCCCTCAGCAACACCCTTATGCAAAAGGAATAAGACAACCACCCTGGGTTCTCCCTGGGAGTTCAGTCGACTTTCTCGCCTTTTCCGAAGCCTAAAATCCCTGACATCCCACCCTCTTTCCCCAACCCAGAGCTCAGCCGCTCTCCGGGAGCTCCCTGGACAGACGAGAGGCTCAAACGCTAACCCTAGGTCCTACCAAAAACTCCATGCCCACACACACCCACGCGGCTCCGCGGCGTTCCGTCCAGCCCCGCGGCTTCAGGGTGTCCCCCGTGAATCTTCGGGGTGTTCCCCGTTAATCTTACACACACACACACACCCGCCACGTCAAGATCAAAAGCCCCGCAAACCCGCACCCAGCCCCCGGGGGGGGGGGGGGGGGGACAGCTTCCCCCCCTTCCCCACCCCCAGGATAGCGGCTCCATCCCCACCAACACCCCCCGCCCCGCTCTCAGCGCCCCGCTTTTCCCCCCAACGCGGTTCCTCCTCAGCCCGGGGACGGCCGGCACTCACGCTCCGCCAGCATCGCCATCTTGGGGGCCTCCTTCCCGCCGCGGCGCGGGGCGAGGGCGCGCCGACAAGTCCGCGGCCCCCAGGGGACCTTTATAACCGCGGGCGCACTAAGGGGCGAGGAAATAACCGCCTGGCCAAAAAAGTCTTGAGGGAGGAGAACGTAGCGGCTAGTCTAGTGGAAGATAAGGGTGTAAACCTGCTAAAATTCCACTAAATCTTTCTAAAGACATGTTGGATTGGACATTGGCTGTGTCGCTGGTGTTTCCCGGTGGATATTGCACAGGCAGGTTTGCGGGCAGCCCAATCCCGCCCTCTCCCGTTCTTGACAGAGAGGGCGGGCGACTCCCGGGAGCTTGGGGTCTGCTCCGGAGTTCTTAAAGCTGCTAAAACCGCTGCTAAAAGCTCTGCGAGCGGGTGGCTGGGCTCCTTGGGGTGTTTAGTCATCCCCACGGGTGGAGGCTCCGCGCGTTTCAGGGTCTCCACAGGCGGAGTCCGTTGTGAGGAGGCTCTTGAGGCGGGATGGGGAATGGGGTGAGCAGGGTTCGCTGTGGGCTCGGGGTGTGTGGTTAAAAATAACGGGGTGCTGGCAGTCTTAATCCTTCGGGGGTGTGTGTGGGGGGAAGGAATGTCCCTGACTTTACCCATTAGCGGTGGGGGGAGCTCTCATTCCATGTGCGCCGTCCTCTGCCTGTCCTCTTGTAATAAAGGTGAACCTGTCATGGTCGTGCCCCAGAGCAGCTCTTCATCATCGTCGTAGAATGGCGATGAAGATCATAGAATGGTTTGGGTTGGAAGGGACCTTAAAGATCATCGAGTCCCAACCCTCCCCACTTTCCTTATATAACTGGTCAAAGACATCTAACAGCAACAACTTGAAGTTTCCTTGGCAAATTACATCTTTATTGTCAATGTTTTTAAAAATCCTCTGATGAACTCCGATCTTTCTGTAACACCAGGTCAATGCTTCTTCTCTTACCCACCTTAGATCTGGAAAAAAATAGTATCTTTTCCTTTCTGCAGCACATTTTATGTGTTTGAAGACTAAATGCAACCCCTCCTTGATGTTTACTTGCTGAATCAAACCAGTGCTATTTAGTAGTCTCTTCTTGCAGATATTTTTGAGCCCTCGATCATTCACGTTTTCTGTTGTTTTTTTTTTTTAACCACTCTTCAGTTGTTTCTTATTTTAACTGAAGTATTGCACCCAAAACAACACATGATGCTGCTGAGTCCTTCAGAGCACATTAACTGGAGTTGTAGGTTGCTCCCTCTCTGGCTATGTTTTGCATCTCAGCATAATACTTTGTTCCCTAACTTCCATCTCCCTGTCAGGGAAGTGCTGCAGTGGGGTTTTGTAGTCTTTGTGGAGTGTATTAATCCTGTATTTTGCCCTTAGTCAATCAATACTTCTGTCATTCCATTCTGTCATATTGTTCTGAATTGCAGACCTTTGGGGTCTCTGCTGTCTCTTTCCCTAGCTTGGAGTCACAAAATGAATCACAGACTGTTTTGGGTTGGAACAGACCTTAAAGACCATCCAGTCCCAACCCCCCTGCCCCGGGCAGGGACCCCCTTCCCCCAGCCCAGGGTGCTCCCAGCCCCGTCCAACCTGGCCTTGAACCCTTCCAGGGAGGGGGCAGCCACAGCTGCTCTGGGCACCCTGGGCCAGCAGCCTCGCCCCCCGCACAGGGAACGATTTCTGCCTTAGATCTCATATAAATCTGCCCTCTCTCTGTTTAAAATCGTCCCCCCTTGTCCTACCCCCACCCCCTGATCCAGAGTCCCTCCCCACCTTTCCTGTCCCCCCTTTAAGCCCTGGGAGGCCAGCTCGAAGGTCTCCCCGGACCCTTCTCTTCTCCAGGCTGAACCCCCCCAACTCTCTCAGCCCGGCCCCCCAGGGGAGCTGCTCCAGCCCCCCAGCATCTCCGTGGCCTCCTCTGGCCCCTGCTCGAAGCATCTCCGTGTCCTTCTGCTGTTGGGGGACCCCTGAGCTGGCCCCAGCAGTGCAGGGGGGTCTCCCCAGAGCGGAGCAGAGGGGGACAATCCCCTCCCTGGCCCTGCTGCCCCCCCTGCTCTGGCTGCAGCCCAGGGCACGGGTGGCTTTCTGGGCTGCGAGCGCATGTTGCTGGCTCACAGGCAGTTTTCCATCCACCAACACCCCCAAGTCTTTCTCCGCAGGGCTGCTATCAATCCACTCCTCACCCAGTCACCTGCAAATGTCCTAAGTGTACTCTGTACCTTAAGGCAGGTCATTAATGGGAATATTGAGTCCTACCAGGAACAGAACAGATTGCCCACCACTCTTTCTTCATCCAGCCTTCCATTTGGATAACAACTGGATTACAGCTCCGCCAGTTCAGCTTTTCAAACTGTTTTGCTTCTGTGCTTTTTGATTTAGGTTACATTTCCCTATTTTATTATGAGAACACCAGTGCAAGACCATTTCTAAAGACTTTTTAGGCAAAGAAAACAAATTATAACCATGTCTTTTCCTCTGCAAGAACCATTCTGTCAGTCAACAAAGTTTGATACAATGGAGCTTGTTCCTGGCAAATCTATAAATTCACAAAAAGCTTATTGATTCTTTTTATTAGTTTATATTCAGTTCCTATTAAACCAGCTGCTCTGACTGCCCCACTTGCTCCTTTAATGAACTGGTATCAAGCTGGTCCTTTTGTAATCTAAGCCCACATCCAGCTGTCAGAAATTCTCACAGTGTGTGTTCTCACCAGACTTTTTTGCCAGTTCTCTGTGGACTTTCAGGTCACCTTCATCCTGCTTGACTGACGCAAAAACAAATAAATACTTTCCAATCCTTCACTACCTGGGAGGGAGAGCTTTTCCCTTTGCCTCTCTCGTTAATTGTGTTAGCCACTTGATTGCGTCTGGTCCTTTCAGTGAAGATTGAATGGATGAATCATGCCCTGCTCCCTCTGCTGTGTAGTGGATCATCTTTGCCTTTGGTCTCTCTCTCATGCCTGCTGCGCTATATAAAGCTTTGCAACTGCAGGTTGTATCTCATTCAGTGCCTTGACTCTGTTCATTCTGTCTCTTATGCTCATACTGTATGTGCTCTGCATAAGGTGGCCTTACATCTCTTTCTCGTAGAAGCTGGGTGTTATTCACTGATGCACTTATTATTGTTAGATTAAGGAGTGGCTGTCTTTAATTCATAACCCAGACTTCTAAGAGACTGCCTGGTAATTCTCTGAGCTAACTGAGGTCTACCTGAAATCTGTCCAATTTTTTTGGCTCCTCTACTCTCCTGCCTTATGAAGAGGAACCATCATCAGCACCTGGAAATAACGAGGTATGTGACAGCTTTCAAGCTTGCACTTAACTGTCTTCTTCCAAGGGAAAAATCCCTGGAGAATCATCCCTAGAAGAACCTTCTTTCTGTTTTCTTTTTTCCTGCCTTAACAAAATTCATACACAGCAGAGACCTGCTTGGACAGTCTAGAACAGGGTCCACCTCACCTCCCTTAACTGTGTATAAAGCAGGCCTGTACCCTGAATTCCTGGGGCACATCTTTCTGCTAACACAGAGGGAGTTTGGATATCCAGCTGATTCCCTGGATATCTCTGGCTGAATCCCATCAGCCCTGCTCTCTTCCGAAGGGAGGACAAGCCAGATGAAATGCCATGTCACCACCAGCTCTGTCACTCTGGCAGTTCTCAGTCACAACACCTCGCCTGCTTTCTAGTGCTCACAGGTCACCTACCAGGATCTTCCTCCCTAGGGATTCTCAGCAGTGGCCACTCTTTGCTGTCATCTGAATCTGAAATATAAGGTGATGTATCCTCCCCTCCATCATCCTTCTACCCGTGCTTCCTGAACAAAGTACTCCTCCTGGCAGTAATAGCTGTTTCTGTGAATTAACCCTCTGAGGTCTCTATTACATCAACTAAATTGTAGTGTTGTTCACGCATTAAGAGTTCAAATGATCACTTACTTGCATGAGCCATTTCACACCATCCAAATTCTGCTTCCATTTTTAATTGTGGAGAGGTGTAAGGCTTCTAGCTGAGGTCTGAGTGTAATATTTGATCGCTCCAATAGGTAGCAGCATTACACGTTAGAATCAGCTTCACTGTGCTATAAAGACATCACTGAAGGTGGAAGATTGGAATAATTTTTGTTAAAGGATGCCTTGAGGTTGCGATTTGTTTCTTGTTTGTTTCTAAAACTTAATATTTGACTGCATCAAAGCACTTCTACTTCCAAAACCGTCTCACTCCCCTGCTTGCAAAGAATCACAGCTCAAAACACAAATGAGATCATACTTGCTTTAATTATTGCTGATTT